TTTTGGCCATGCCGGAGAAGAAGAAAAAAGCACAGGCCTTTTTGAAAGATGGCTTCTATTTCTCTTAGGAGTGGTAGAGTTGACCATTGTGTTCTTTATTTGAAGTTCAATTGGTCAGCCTGTTGGTGAGTTACCTGTTCTTCTTTGGCTGGCCTTACAATCAACCGACGAGAGGCTAGTCCCTGACAAGCAATACAGCCTTTTTCTGTTAGAGAAGGAATACTTCTGAAAAATAATACCTGCTGCCATTCTCAAAAAGAAGAAACATAAAAAAACATATTACCTTGAGCAGTATGGTGACTATCAGCTTCATTGACGACACAATGCTGGTTCCTTCTTTTATTTTTTTCTAAGGAAAACGTCTATCTTGTCTGGCTTTGCAATAGAAATGTGATTGAGGAATAAAGAAAGATTGGATCTTTTCACAGACGTGTGAATTAATTTTTAATGACAGTTTTAGAAAGAAATGCATATTGTTAATATTCAGAGGGGAATTATCTCCCTAAAAGAAGGGAACACTATCATTAATTTGACCAGTCATCTGATTCTGAATCTTTTATTGTTTTACCTGGGAGGGGGCAAGGAGGGAAATTCAAGGTATTTGTCGATAATCCTTGTCATATAAGATGATAGAATTTATTTCTGAAAAGCCAAGTGCAGCTGAGGCAGTGGAAGAAAGGAGGGAAGGTAGGGAAAGGAAAGGAGGAGTTGGGGAGATGCTCCTTTCTTCTTGGATAACACAAGTCTGGGGCTTGTTGTATTTTCTCTTGTAAAAGTGGTCCTTTTCTCAACGTTAGTATCTTCCTATGAAACAAAAGCTTAATTTTTTTCTTTGGTTTGAAAAAAATAGATTTATAGGCAATTGCAAGAAATGAATATACAGGGAAGTCCCTTAAATGAGCAAGATTCTTCTTGATTTATAGTGGGATTACTACATCTTACTTATGTAGGAAGGTCAGCTCTCCCTAACCGTTATAGATGGTTGCTAGTTGTGTTCACAGAATTCATAATGGGCTTCTCGTCTGTGGAGGCCTGCTTCCCCCTCCGTACCCGCCCCCCTTTTTCATTTCTTTTTTGTTTGTATTGATGTTGAAAGTGCTGACGGCTTGTCGCTGGGGGCAGAGACTGTAACTGTGGTCAGAGGAGGCCCTGCCAAGTGTGATTCAAGTACATCGCAGACTTGACATTGGAAAGTCTGGGTTCCAGACATTAGAACTGTGTGACCTTTGAAACCCGGCTTACCTGCCTGTGGTTTGTTTGGAATACAGCTAGTCAAGGAGTAGAGGCCAGACTATCATTCTCATTGTTAAGACGGTCAGACCACTGGAAGTCAGACCTTTATAAAATGTACTTCTTTGAGATGGAAATTTTTAAAAACAGAGCCAGAGGGGTTTGTCCACAAGCCACCCTTCCAGTGTACATGTCGTCTGGAAGTGTGGGGGGGACTGTGGGCAGAGCGAGAGTGATGCAGTGCCCACGCCGCCTCACACAGTAAGCACACCAGTTTGTCAAATTAGCCAGTTAGCATCTTGTCCATCTGGGGCCCTGTGACTTTCCACAGGACCGTTTTGCTCAAGGAAAGCCCTTTTCTCTATATATTTTCCAAATGGGGGTTTTGCTCCTGTTACAAGTGGGATTTAATAAAGTCCCTGGATTGTAACTCACTATTCTGCTGAAGTCGAGAAAGGACACCAAGGTGCATCTCACCACACACCTACTGAGCCTCATAGTGACCCTGAAGGACTGCCCTGTGAGTTTCCCAAACTGTGACTCCATGGGAGTAGAAATCCCTGTCTTTCGCCTGTGAAACAGCTGGTGTGTTCAAACTCTTGACCTTGTGGATAGCTACCGAACACATCTGCTACCAGTGCTCCTTACTGAGCAGCTTAGTGAAGGGCTCAGTACTGCCCTGGGACTCAGTGGTGGTTCAGTGGTAGGATTCTCCTGTAGCCACTACCTGCCTATCCGGTGAGGGCCAGGTGCTGCTGTGAAACCGCTGATTCCTGTGGACTTCCAAATTAAGATACATTAGGAAGAAAGATTTGGCACTCTACTTCCAAAAACCAGCCAATGAAAGCCCAGTGGTTCTTGATGATCCCCTCTGCACCTGGTCCCAGGGAAAGCACAAGATCAGACAAGTTTCCTTCCCTTGATTTCAGATAACAGCAACAACAAATGCAGTGGCAAGTTGCTTTACACTTCTCTCACGGGATCTCATTGCACACGAAACTATCCAAGGAAGCAGGTGATACCACCATTTTTTAGGTAATGCAACTGAGGCTTCAAATGGGGAAATGAATTGTCCAGAGTCACAGGAGTGCAGACGGTAGAGTTGCTTCTTAGTTCAAATCTGCCCAGGTCCAAAGCCCATGTTTTTATATTGTGGGCCCATTGCTGTTGCCATCAAGTAAATGCTGACTCCTAGCAACCCAACAGGATAGAGGAAAACTGTTCCTTAGGCTTTCTGAGTGACTATAAATCTCTATGGGAACAGACAACCTCACTGGTCACCTGCAGAGCGACTGGTGGGTTTGAACCTCCAACCTTGTGAGTAACAGCCCACAGCCTATCTGATTGCCACCAAGGCAGAACCTTTAATTTTACAGATAAAAATGTGGAGGTCCCAAAGGGGGTGGGGGTGGGGAGCTTGTGGAGTTTTTCCTTCACACTCTTTTTAAAAAAATCATTTTATTGGGGGCTCGTACAATTCTTATCCCAATCCATCCATCCATCCATTGTGTCAAGCACATTTGTACATTTGTTGCCATCATCATTCTC